GATCATAGATAGATGGGAGATGAGTTGGTGGTAACCGTATTTACAAATCTCCGCAGGGATTGTATCAGAGCTAGGTCTTTTCCACTGGAGAGTTGCTGCACAGCCTTGATAGCTTCCTGGAGGGTAGGTGGGTGGTCGAGATCTGCATTGATTTTTAACTGAGGCAGATGGTCGATGATGGCATTGGAAATGATGGAAGGGCGGTTGACTACGTCTTGGAAGTGTTCGGCCTAACGTTGCAGAATTTGTGCCTTCTCAGCTATGAGCGCAGAGGAGCTGTTCCTTTGATGATGGGGCCGTAGATGGCCTTGAGTGCAGATAAGAAGTTCATCCATTAATTTCGAGCCGCGTAGCTTTGGATTTCCTCGCCCTTGAAGGCCATCCCAGCATCCTACATTTCCCTAAGCCGCTGCTCCAAAAGACGGCGACTTTGGTAGAAGACTGCTTTCGTGGCGTCGGTAGGGCAGTCAACGTAGGCTTTGTGCAGACGGTTCTACTCCGCGAGCAGATGACGGACGTCTGTATCGTCTTCGTCGAACCAGTCCTGGTGTTGGCGACGTGCGCGACCAAGGACGCGGTGGGCTGTGGGTTGAACTGTGTCCCGTAGTTAGTACCATCTGTTCGCTACGGAGGCGTTCTCGTCTGCAACGGAAAGATTATCTAGCCGCTGAGCCAGCTTGTTGCTGAAATGCAAATGGTTAGCAGACACATTTAACAAAGCAGAATTCAACTTGGCTGGGGGTCGCTTACCCTGGGGTCTCCTGCGTGTTTGAAGGCGGATCCTCATCTTGGAGATGACGATACGGTGATCGGTGCAGCCGCCGGCACCCGGCATTGCCTTGGTAACCAGCACGTCCTGCTGGTCACGCCGCCGGACGAGGACATAGTCCAGGAGGTGCCAGTGCTGGGATCGGGGACGCCTCCAGGTCGGCTTTTGCTGGAGCGGGAGGCAGAAGAAATATTGGTCAGGACGAGGAGGTGTTCTGCATAGGTTCGGGGGAGGAGCAGGCCATTGTCATTGAGGCCGCGGAGACCGTGAGGACCTAGCACTTCTCTCCAGACAAGGTGTTCTGAGCAGACGCGAGCGCTGAAGTCACCAAGGGCAATCAACTTGTTCGCCTTCGACAAGTCGTCAGGAGGGCGTGCAGATCCTCTCAGAACTTGTTCTTTGTCCCGTCGGAGCTGGAAATCGGGGCGTAGGCACTGACGAT